CCTTAACTGTACCCCACAAAACTATAATAAAAATACTGATTAATTAAAAAAAAAAAGAAATATAAGAAATCATTTTCTCTTGATAGCTATGTAAATAAAAGATGAATACAATCATATGGATCCTAATTCTTAAATTAAAATTAGGTTTTCTGTCTGAAAGACACAATCTCAAATTTCTAAGACAATTACAAAAAAAGAATTGGTATAATGACCTAAAATACAATCACATTCTCTTACCATCCGAGCCACGAGGAAAAGTAATCTGTTGGATTGAAGACGATGAAGCAAACTTGACAGGAGTTTTATTTAGCTTCTGAGTACTGGGCTCTGAAAGTCCATGTGCACGATCTTCAGCATTAATAAAAATCTCAGATGAAAATGTAGTTTTTTCTGGACTTTCTGTTGTTATCTGAGTGACCGCATCAGATGATAATTTTCCAGAGGATGTAGAAAGTGGGGCTTCAATCTTCTCTGGTGACCTAAACAAAAAAGAGAAAGGACATAGCAGGTCATATCCTTGGCCTATCAGAAACTGAAATCTCTTTCTAAAATTGATTCCAGGGAATATTTAAGTAGTTACAGGAATATTTTGTGGACACATCAATCTTAAATATTTGTTAAGGTATTTCCACAGTACCCTCATTTTTGTTAGATACTTTTTACGATGTGATCATGTATATGTTTACTTTAAAAAAAAAAAAAAACCTACTTTTAATTTTAATTTAGAACACAATTATATAATTTTGCTGAGGAAATGTTATTTTTCAGCTGAACTGAAAATACATTTTTAAAAAAATTACAGATGTCCACTATAAATTAGGGGACTACGCTAAATGCACAGGTTGCACAAAGATAAACCAGAAACAAAGCCTTCCCTCAAGTTTATATTTCAATGGGGGAACCAAAAGTTTTCAGGGTTATAGTAATGCAGCAAGATTACAGAGAATTCATATTAAAACAGAGTAAATAGCCGGGCTCAGTGGCTCAGCCTGTAATCCCGTGGCTGAGGTGAGTCGATTGCCTGAGCCCGCGGGTTCAAGACCCGCCTGGGCAACTTGGCGAGACCTCATCTCTACAATAAATCAAAAAATCAG